ACATCCACGCATCCTCGTCCGTTACAATTTAAAATATATTATTTGCAAAAAAAAAAATGCTGTAGGTTAGGTAAAAATATCACTATTACGTTAAATCGATCGATCGATCGAAACGATCATGGTTCGATATAACGTTCTTACAATGCAAAATGGATATTTGGTACCGTCATAATCGTCTACCGTCGAGCATTACAGTGGATCAATCAATCAATTTAATTCTTTCATTAATCAATGAACTCCAAGCCCTGTGCCGTTTCAAATTTCAATCAATATGCGTTTACAATTTTTTTCGTAGTCTAGCCGATTGGCAAGACTCCAAGTCCTTCAAAGTGTACTTGGCAGAGACCTTGCGACACAATAGTTAGTATTTATGCCGTAAATCGTTTTTATGTCCGTTTAATGGCAATCAATGTACAATGAAGCCGCTCCTCCTTTTCAAGAGCACTATAAAAATCATTCAATGGACATCATTCGGTTTGAAAAAACCTCTAATGACTTCCGTGACCGCAAACCTTAACCAGCTGATTGATTGACGATTCAATTGCTTTCAGTTAGGGTGACCTGCAGTTAGTAACTAGCCAGTGATTGCTTAGTTGAGAGAGCGCTTGCCGCCTATCTAACCTCCTTGTCATAACTACCGCATTTCCATTTTGGTAACTTTCGAGATATTGGCACCTAAAGTTTTTTTCTTTGAAAAATGTCAATCACGCTGATTTCGCTTAACTATAGAACGGAAACTAAATAAGATATTAAAAAAACCGCTTATAGGGCATTGTAGATCTCGTTTTGCTTATTCCAGATATGTCAATTACTCAATTTCGATAAAATATCGATTAGGTTACTTATAATAAGGACAGTAGCTACGTAGGCGGTGTTAAGTTCGATTCGGCAACACTGCGACTTATCGAATCATAATCAAATCAAAAATTATCTAAATATTTCGAAGAGGAGTAGGAAAGACATTGTGGTACAAGTACCTAAAGTATATACAACATTTCCAAACAGACAATTCAGCAAGCGATCGGCCCATTTGTACAATTTCATTAATTAGGAATTAGATATATACGCCAAAAGTTATAAAGACTGCAAAAAAGTTATATCGAAATGGCTACAGTCGAAATCGTATGCGAAAACCGAAGATCTATTAGAACACTTGTTTTAAAAACACCACTTTCCTAACCTGTGGCATCAGGTTAACACACACACATACACACACACACACCCAAACACACTTTTTCATATACAAATGCACACAAACTAACACACACATACGTTTTAAGATTCAAATTAAATTTAAAATTAGAAGTTAAGAAAGTAGAAAACTTGTTAAAAAATTGTTTGTTCTGACGATGTTTGGAAATGTAAAAATTACGTAAAAATGTAAAACGTACCATCCATTGTTAATGTAAAGTTAATTGTATACTGAAATGAACATTTTATAATCAATTGGCTAATGATCACTTGTTGTAACGATGAAGGAAAACGTTATGATGAAGATGTAATAGCGGTAGAGCTCTTTGTGAAAGAGTTCGTCTAGGAAAGAAACTTAAGACCTAAAAACAATCTAAAAAAAATGCCCCTCAGACCTTTACGATTTAAAGCTTTGAGTGTCACTGCAACTGTTATAGACAGGCGTGTCGTTTATCACCAGCCGCACGACTAGTACGTACCGTCACTTGGTATCATAAATTTATGACTATTAATAGAGTCTAACAAATCGGAAAAGATCATAAAATAATTGTTGACTTCGATGTACCAAACGCAGTAATGTTCCAACCTGAAAATAATTAATTATTATAATGCATTTCTGGAAACGCGAGAAGGACTTAGCTGACAGCTATTTTATTATCTCTTTTTCGCTATCATTTAACAACAGGAAGCGAACAATTTATGTCAAATCATATTTAAAAATTTAAAGATTTTATTAATAATATTATTGATAATTAGACAGAGCCAACTTTGTGAAAGAGGTCACTCGTCGAATCAGACTCGGTTGGGCAGCTTTCGGGAAGCTACAGCACGTCTTCTCGTCTGCAATACCGCAGTCCTTGAAGACAAAAGTCTTCGAACATTGCGTGTTGCCAGCGATGACCTACGGCTCTGAGACGTGATCACTTACTATGGGCCTCATAAAAAACCTCAAAATCACTCAACGAGCTATGGAGCGAGCAATGCTCGGCATTTCTCTACGTGATCGAATCAGAAATGAGGAGATCCTTAGAAAAACGAAAGTCACCGACACAGCTCAAAGGATTAGCAAATTGAAGTGACAGTGGGCAGGGCACATAGCTCGCAGAACTGACGGCCATTGGGGCAAAAAGGTTCTCGAATGGAGACCATGAACCGGGGGGCGTTCAGTGGGACGGCCCCCTACTAGATGGTCGGATGACGGGTAAGGGCGGCGGGTAACCGATGGATGCACGTGGCGTCCGATCAGCTAGTCTGGAAATCTTTGGGGGAGGCCTATGTTTAGCAGTGGACGTCTTCCGGCTGGTATGATGATGGTGATGATTGTTGATAAAAACTAAACTCAACGAAATTGTTTTTCTTTTATCTTTTTGTTCTTTTTCTACACACTTACACAATTTTTTTGTTCACTGTTCGAATTACTTACTTTTTTCCATTTAATTGATTGCTTTAAAGAGCTTATCTGTGTTGATTCACGCGTAAAATTGATTGTGACAAGAACACACAATATTGAATAAAAAATTGATCAGTACTATTAGAGATATAATTTACATTATTTTTCTTCTGTGAGTGGCTCACTAATGACCGATGTATAGCAATCAATTTTGCTTGTATCTAGCTGAGCTGCACTTGGAAGGACTGTCACGACCCTCTTATCTCTTCACGACAACTTTTTATATAATTACCCGGACCGCATTATAGATTTAAGCTCCCTGTTGTCTCTATCTACCGGACCGAGAGATTTGGAGTTCCGGGGAGACTACGGGCTCCCGGTAAGACCAGGATACGGCGGATGTCCGGGCCAAGCCCTTCGCCGGAGATAAGCTTTCACAGGCATCTCTGGCGGACGCAAACATGGGTCTGGGGTTTGTGGTTAACTGTATGGGTGGACACGTTCGTCTGCCCCGATAGCATGTGGCCGGGGCGTTCGTCTCGCGCGCAAATAGCGCGTCTTAGTAGCGGTCTAGGCGAAGGTCCAAGGTGAGGAGACGCTCGGCAACTTGAGTTGCTCTTTAAGTTGGAAGCTATGTCCGGACATTGTCACAGGACACTGTAACCGACATTTCCGGTACTGACGCGGAGAGCTAATAGAAGATGTACCTCCAGTGAGAGACGCTTCGGCGTCGGGATGTGAGTGTGCCTACAATTTCTTCACCAATTAGAGGAGATTCGGTAGTGAACGGCTTAGCGGAGGAAACTGTTAATTGAGCAATGCGCAACGAGAGGTCAGCGAGCCAACAGCTCTGATATCTATATCTATCTATCTGGACAATAGGGAGCATGCCGTACATGAACCCCGGGATGCTCACCTAAGGCACTAGCCTTTTGAAAACCGGATAAAGTCTGTGTCAAAGGGCTGTTCTGGAGTCAGGATCTGACTGATCCGTATCAGTCAGATCCTGACTCCAGAACAGGGCTAACACTGTAACAGGTCCCGTGCCCTGTGCAAACTTGCTTGGACAGGTAATAATGCCCTTCGCGTATAACCAAAAGGTTGGGTAGGGAGGAAACTTTAATCAAAATTTAGTAAAAGATGAGACTGACCCTGTTGAGGCCGCGTAGATGAACGTGGCGCCCATCACCCAAATGCAAAAAAAACACAAAAAATCAACAATGGTTATAAAACAAACAATCGAAATATACTTTTTTAAGTAATCTATAAGCAGACGAAGGCTGGCAATTCAATTACTTATATTAAACTACTTCTCATAGTTTTCCTAACCACTACCAGTGTGTAATGAGACCATCACGAAGCATTTTGGAATGTTGCACAGCACAATAAATATTTTAATGGCTTCTATGCAAACACGTTTTATTTATCACTCACGATATTTTAATTTGAATATTTTAGTGTTTCAAACTTTGTAGTCAACTTAAAATTTTTTTTAAGTGTGAAAAACGTAGAGAATAGGTGCGGTTCAGGTGCGTGTAGGGTCGAGCGGGCGCGGGCCCCGACCAGCGCCGGTCTCTCGCCCGCGCATGGTGATTTGTCATCCATATAAACACAAGGAATTACACCTGCCGTGCTCCCGACCCGACACGCACCTGACCTCCACCCGCTGTCAGTGTGTTTCACGCTTAATGGTATTCATTGTTTTATTGGTTTTTTTTTGTATAGCCCCGCTCTAGGTAAACCTTGTGTCACGGGTGCCATGAACACACACACATAGACAACCACAAATTACACCCAAACTCACGAGAGAAATATATGTAGGTCATACAAATATTTCTCCCGGCCCGGGAATCGAACCCGTTACCTCCGCGTACCCGTCCAATATGGTAACCGTTCGACCACGGAGGCAGTTGATTATAAGATTTGACTATAAGATGGCCTTTCCATTGTGTTCGAGTGAAGTAATTAATTGAATTGTTTGGATTTTCTACGTGAACATCACCAAAATATTATTTAAAATACCTTTCCGCACTTACCGTTTTATTGTGAATTATCGAATAAGTCTTAAACTGATTAGAAAGCTATATTCAAATTTTTTTAACTCTTTATTTATTTGGGGCCTTTGTCATTATTGAACATTTCAACCCGATTCTAAAAACAATACATCAAGAAAACTGTTAATGAAATTCAAACAGATGATTTAAAAACTACCTAACCAAACATTTATACAAAATCTTCGCGCTGCTACATGTTGACTGCGACAAAACGGATTGAAAACCAACTTGTTTAAATAACCGTGCACTGATTGGTTCCGTCCGAAAACACTCCTTGAGTACTTGCTGTACATCCTCTAGAATTCCACACACCATTTAAAAAACCTGAGTACGTTATTTACATAGATAGTGCCTTTAAATTCCAGATCTTCTCTACGAAAACTACATTCCAAATGATGCCACAATGCAAGAAGTTATATTGAAGAAGTTATCAGACTACTGCGGAAAAAACATTTATAACTACACCACTGAAGACGCCGAGCCGCCTATCAAGTGGGACTTCTATCATTCCTTCTTCTTTTCTTACACTGTAGTTAGTACTATAGGTGAGTTATTTCAATTTAGTTTGGTATTCGTACTTGTACATTGTTGTCGGTGGCCGTATATGTGTGTATTAAAGTTAAAAGTTACATTGCACAATGCGTTTCGTTAAAATAAATCCATGCCAGTAGTCTTCTTCTTATTGTATAGACGGCATGCATGATCAAGTGACGGGACAAACAAGTCGTGCGCCTGATAGTGAGCTACACGCCTGTCCATAACAGTTACAGTGCTACTCAGAGCTTTAAATCGCAAAGGTCTGAGAGGCATTGCCACTGCGCCCGTCACCCTGAGACATAAGTTGACAAGTCCCATGTGCCTGTAATTTCACCAGCACCCTTACCCTCGAAAACCGTAACACAGCAAAGCTCACATTACTGCTTGGCGGCGGAAATAGGTAACGTGGCAGTACGTCCTTGAACGAACTCTTTCACAAGGCTTTTTAAATGCTTGCCACCTTGGTGAAAGGATTTGCCGATCGGCATAACGTATTCACCGATTGTCGCCCAAGATGCGCGATACACACAGGAAAAAAAATGGTATATCGTGCGGAAAGGCTCTTTCCATTCACCCCAACCTATCTTTGATATCAAAATACACTATACCTTTCCGTCTACGTAACCATAAAACCCAAGGAAGTATTTGGTCTGTGACAAAATCTCTAAAACGTCGCAAATTAATAATATTTGTCCACAATTCCAGGTTACGGAAATCTAGCACCAACCACTCATCTGTCGAGAATCCTGATGATATTCTACGGCCTTTTCGGGATACCCATCAACGGTATTCTGCTCGCGAACCTTGGTGAATATTTTGGATTGCAGGTAAATACCAGAATTTAGTTGTCTCGACTTGATTACCTATGAAACCTTAATGGCATTTTTTCATCGACTCTGATCATAAATCTTCTTTTGCAGTATCTTTCACGATTTATCGAAATTTCTTTTAAAACTTATAACTCTAGTGACCGCCATAAAGGGACAATACAATATAACAATAATAATAACTTGTACATACATCACTCTTGTCTCCCACTGGGGTAGGCGTAGACTATGGATCTCCACCTGCTACGCTCCTGACATACCCCCATTGCCTCCTCTGTATAGTATGTATTGTATATATTTATATTATATGTTTATTCTTGATAGTATATAAAGACCGGTTTTTAACCCGGTCTTTTTTAAGGACATTTCCAATCTGATTGAGAGGTCTACCTCTCCCCGCAACTCCATCCACATTAGCTCTGTACATTTGCCGTCTACCAACATTCATTCGTTGAATTGAAGCATCGCCCTCTCTATCCTGGTCACTACATAATTTTTCATACTACACTGTTCGGCATTATGTCTTTAAGACCATAATTTATATTATATCAAACAATAATCTCATAAAACACAAACTGAATTGTCTGAGTATACTAATTAATATACCTTCTCTCCGTATATGTATAAGATTGTTTATGTTAAGATTATACATTGTTGTATTTAGTAAAGGCTGCTATTAACAACTTAGTTTCAGTTTTCAGACGTACCTAACACATTCACAACTCTCAATGGTTTCATAATATACCCGTACAATTCATTTGTTTGTGATAACTGGCAACTAGACTTGTGCCTGATCGGTCCTTAGCAGGAGCTATCCTAGTTAGTTCAATCGGTCAACTGAACTAGATCGGTCTTCTAGTTCATTTAGTTCATCTAGTTTCTTAGTTAGTTAGTTCGTCTTGTTCTTGCTCGGACATTGAACGAACGCTTCAAACTAGTAATTTTATTCACATGAACTACTACGGACTTCTAGTATTATGAGGTTAATACTACACTGTACTAAATATTTAAAAATACAATTTGTATGGAATCGCTACTATTTGATTTTCCTTCATATTTTACAGGTTTAAAGTAAATATCCTTTCTAACTAAATGTCCTTTTTTTCTAACTAAATATCCTTTTTTTACAAAATAAGAATTTTAGTTAGAATGGTGTGTTTAAAAATCAATATTTAGGTACAACTATTTCATATACTCGTACATGTAGGTTGATATTATATATAGAGATACCTACAAAAAAATATTACTTTTTTGCAAGTTTGTATATATACATAATGTACACACGTATTAGAGACTTAGAACGAACTGGGAACGTTCAATCGTGCATCCCTCTCGAACTTGTACTAAAAGTAGTGAAAGATCGCTGTTTGTCCTGCTCGCACCGTTCCTACTATATAAAAGACAGGTGAACTATGAACGCAGACAGTTCCTAGTCTGTACTGAACTAAAAAGAACGATGAACTATTAAAACCGTGCAAGACGAACTAGTTAATGTCGGTCAGTGTAGGGAATATATTCCTAATAGTTCGTAGTTCATGAACTATATAAGCCTACTGACAACACAGGTCATATAGAATTTGACATAATAAATATAGTTTGACTCACATATTAGAGGCGTATTATGTTATTTTTTTAATAATATGACACAGGCGTGCAGTCATGGATTTAGTAAATAAGTAATGATGTGAGTTGTAAAATGTAACTAGAGTTACACCACAAAGAGTCAGCCTGTTAGTACATGGAACCTATAAAGAGCACGGAACTCTATTTAAAAAAAAATTAACGCGAATTAAATCTAAAAAAAATTGTTTCGTTTCCAATGCCAGTAGATGTCAAAATATTGAAAATAAAAGAGAAAATAATTATAATTAAAAAAAATCTACTTCAAAGTTTGCTTGTACGTTTTCGCTTTGTTCGTTACTGCGGTCTCCTCAACAATAACTGAAACGTATTTCGTGCCCTTACTTTCTCAAACTTGAACCTTAAAGCACAAAGTTACTGAAATACAAAAAATGGATTGTATATTCAAATTTTGCAGGCTGATTTACCATCATATTTCCTTCATATTCACACAATGGCTTTTACTATTCTTAAAGTAATGTATCCAAATTAACACCCTTGATAAGAAATTTAAAATAAATAGAAAGTTTTGCCGTCTCCTGAGTAATTACTCTATATAAGATACGTGTTTGAGAAAGTAAGGCATCGATATGGAAGTCTTCGTCAAAACAAATCATATGACATCATACAAACATGGTAGCTTCGGTGCACTGTTGAGGAGTTCTTTTTATCAGTTTGCCTTTTCCATCATCAGATCATTTCTAGGTCACCATAACATTTTATTTTCTTTACAATTACATTTATGTGTAAAATTTTATTTAAACTGATACACACAAAAAATAACTCAAAAAATAATAACACAATCTAATTGAGAAGCTATATCTTACTAACTGTTTTTCCCTATTGTCATAATGTAAAAATATGAAATATATAAATAATAATGTCAAACAGCATTAGCTGGTCAAATTTAGATAATTACTAATAACAATTTGTGTAAAACTGACTAGCAGTAAAGTGTGCAGCAGTGTACAGGGTTGTCACAGACCTCTGTCACTTGAATGTATCCGGTTCTGCAAGAGGCTAGTGCCTCGAGTGCACGTACAGTACCCTCCCTATTTTCCAGATAGGTACCGGAGCTGTAGGCACGTTCACTTCCTGTTGCGCAATGCACCACTAGCAGTTGCCATCGCTAAGCCGTCGACTGTGAGTCCACTACCAAATCTCCATATTGGTGGTGGAGCTGTAAGGCACGCTCACTTCCCGACGCGAAGCGAAAAACGAAAGTCATAGAACACTACTATTTACAAATGTTTGACTTCATTTAAATACTTTATAAATCTTTGATAAACATCATTTTTATCTTACCTTTCAATTCCTTTCCAGCTCATCAGAGTCTATCGCAAATACAAGAGACAAAGCGCAAAAAGAGCGGATAACCTTAACTACTTTTTCAACAACCTCGGCATGCTGGGCCAGATCTTCCTCTACCTCGTACCAGGATTCTTGTTCTTCATCTTTTTGCCTGCCTGCATCTTCGTGGTATTCGAAGGATGGGATTATGTTGCTGCCATTTATTATGCTTTTGTCACTTTGACTACTATTGGCTTTGGGGATATAGTTGCAGGTAAATATTTACTTTTAATACATATAACATTATTAAGTGAACCACAGAAATAATAACAAAATAAACAGTAGCAGTCTAGTAGCAGTAGAGATCTTGTAAAAGAGTTCATCCAGGGTAGTACTGCCATCTTAATGTGACAGAAATGCAAGTATTACTGCGTCCCGGTTTGAAAGGGTAAGGGTACTGGTGAAATTACAGGCACATGGAACTTGTCAACTTATGTCTCAGGGTAAATAGCTGACTTATCTGAGAATAACGATTGTTTTTTTTTTCAAATAAACTACTAAATACTATGAAATGCACTTTGAATCATATTTGTGTGGAATCTAGACTCATGTTGCTTTCCATGCATTATTATCTAACACGTAGTTCTCGAATCTTATTGTAAAAACGTATGCAGCGTGTTATACAGCATTTATACAGCATTTTACATTTTTAGAGATAGGATAAGGAGACAGTGATCTTTAGAAATAAATTAGTGAATGATAATGGTATTGGTAATTCAATGAATAATTCGTATAAGTAGATATAATATACAATTCCAAAACTACAGGGTATTGGTGAACCACGACTTTCTATCTTTATGCCACCAAAAATTTAACTCTCAATGTCAGATAGTTTCAGTATAAAACAGGAACACTCATCAAAAATATTAATTACACTTAAAATGTAGACGATTGTTTTCAATGTCTAATGTTCTAGGAAACGCAAGATATAGAGCATTAATACCTTTTAATTTGTTTGTTGCAGGCACTGTGAACAATGGCTTCAAATACGGATACTTCTTTACTTATCAAATATTCCTCATCGTTTGGATTACCTTCGGGCTAGGCTATATCGTCATGTTACTCGGCTTCATTACCAGCGGCATGAGATCTAAAGGTGTACATAGACTGGAGAAGAAAATTGCCAGTCAGTTTAAAAATACGCAAAACAGGATCTTACAAGGATTTACAAAAGATATTTCTGTTATTAGAAAAATTATTAATGAAGCTAACTTAATTAAAATCAAAGTAAGTTACCACAATAGCTACAACCATTTTACAAAATAGCGCCTATATTTTTATTAAAGCAAAATTATCCGACACTAAGATTGCATTAACGTACCTTCTTATTTAATTTATAAACTGAGTAGTTTATTACCTCACTGCATATATGTATCCTTTTGTCTGTTTAGTATTTGTAATGAAACCTATAAATAAACCTAATATAATTATATTTCAGCCTGTGTACGTCGACACCACACCACAACTCTACAAGAGCGCCAGTTGTCCCAACTTTACATTTGATATCGAACCAAGAGGTCCAATCGTAGGACGAAAACGAGCCAATTCCGAAAATATCCATCTCTTTGCCAAAGAAATGTTACGCATACAATCTGATACAGACCTACTTGGTATAGACAAAGAAAAAACATTTACTGCTTCAGCTTTGGTGAAACCAGCAGAACTTTTAGCAAGAGTTGTAAATGTACTTGGAGGACTGGAACCCCCGCCTGGACCACCAGAAAAAGGAATTCATATGTTTGACGATGTTCAAATATTAGCTAGTGAAAATCCACCAGTATTTACTATAGGCAATGAAATGATAACTAACTCACCTAAGAGAAATAGAGCGCTTAGCGTGGCTGTGCCTAATTATAGAAAACCATCAGTCACTAAACTTGATCACAATGTCACCTGGACAAATGGAGACTCGCCTGAAAAATATGTTAGCAATGAACACCGAAGTGGAAAATTATCGCTACCTTGTAATTTTATTCCAGAAGAAATGCGAGAGCAGCCTAAACCTACTAGCTGGTCAAAAGTAACCAAACTATTCACAAAAAAATCTAGTACGGCAGACAATCCTGCTGCATACCTAAAGAATACAATGAAAGGTAGAGTAAGTGTAGCTCAAGAAAATAACGAAAATGTTAATGAAAAACCTAAAAGGCGGGGTAGTATCTTCCCCACATTTGGTTTTGGTCAACATGAAGAAAAAAGTGAAGCAGATGCATATAAAGAAAAGACAAAACGTGGTAGACATAGTATATTTCCGACGTTTGATTTCAACCAAGACGACGACGAGGAAGAAAATATTTCAAAAGCATACAAAGAAAAAACAAAACGTGGTCGTCACAGTATTTTTCCCACTTTCGATTTCTCCGAAGATGAAGATGCAGCGGCAATCAAAGCTTATCAACAGAAAACAAAAAGACACAGTATATTCCCTACATTCGACTTCAGTGAAGATGAAGAAGATGAGGCTGCTTCTAGAGCATACAGAGAAAAAACCAGAAGTGGCCGACGAAGTATATTCCCTAGTTTCGATTTTAGTGAGCCTGAAGAAGACATTGCTAAACGCTATAAAGAAAATACCAAGAGAGGTAGACATAGCATATTCCCAACATTTGATTTTACTGAAAACAAGGAAGACGATGACGATGATGTAATAGATGAAGAAGAATTACAGCGCTATCAAAATCGAACAAAGAAAGGACGCCTGAGTTTATTCCCAACCTTTGGGAAATCTAAAAAACATGACCAAGATTCTGTTATGCCAGAATCTTCCGAGGAATTAGATAATTACAAAAGTAAAACAAAACGTGGACGTGGCAGCCTTTTCCCGTCATTTGGAAAGGATCGCAAAAGTTCTTCGGCTCATGATGATGTCGGTGATCTCGAAGCTAGTATTAGACAATACCAAAACCAAACAAAGAAAGGCCGTGGTAGCTTATTTACAGAAGACAGTAACTTTGATGCTGACCTAGAAAGTTATAGGAACAAGACGAAACGTGGTAGAGGAAGTTTGTTCGATCCGGATGTTCATATAGAAAATTTGCCTGAAACTGAACAAGTAGAAGTATTAGAACAAACGAGCGTGGCTGATTTAATTCGAGCTTTGACTGTATTAGAAACCGCAGGTCAAGGTCACGGTGGTGCAACACCTAGTTTGTTAGGCTTGTTAGCTGGGGCTACTTCAACTCCAGCTCCAGCTCACCCTCCTTCTAAACGACGCGGTTCTCTTAGACCAGATTTCATATTGCCACCAATTCCTGCACGTAAAGTCGATAATACACCAAGTAAAGCTGAAACTTCTAGTAAAACGGAAAATCTTCATACAATTCCTGATGTGGCTCCTAGTATATTACCTACAACTGTTGAAAATGACGGAAAAGCGACGCCGGAAATGCAGCCCAGAAGAAGAAGAATATCAGCACGAGCTGCAACTCCTCAATTCACTCCAACTCTCCCTACCGTTACAGCTGGGGCAGAGTTACAAATTAGTACTGCTACAGCGGCGAGACAAAATCGAATGTCTATGATACATGCCCCACCTCCGTATTCAGAAACTGAAGAGCCTTCACAACCTAGAGTAAGAAGATATTCGCCAGCACCAGGCGACCATGGCAGACCTAGTACAGGTCCGGTGCCTAGACTGTTTTCACGTATGCGAAGAGATAGTCCCAATAATACGAGCAGTGGTGAAGAAAGAAATTCCCGAACAGGGAGCTTAACGGAAGTAGTGATAGACAATGGTAAAGACCAAACGTAATATAATGCCTTTTTAGTACAATTTAAGACAAACTATTTATTTTACAACTATATTAATAGGACTTTTAATGTAATTGTAATTATAAGCCGTCCAGAATTCTAAATGCCTTTTATTTTCGTACCTTTTACATAAAGGATCAAAAGAAAACAATTTCAAAATAGTGTGATATGTTTAATTAGTATCTTCAGATATATTTTAGCCTTATGTACTCATATTATACTTATTAATAATGTCTATCTAATATTTTACACTAATATAGTGTAGGTAATTAAATCGAAATAAATATTCTACGAATTATTTTGAATCCAGTCAACCAGTGAAGTAATTTATGACATGATTGCATATAAAAAATAACTATTTAGGTCGACAACACAATTTTAACACGTTAATATGATGAAACATACAGAGACATATAATGAAAAAACACAAGACGTTAAACAACGAATGAAAATCAATTAACGTAAAACAAAATGATAATAATTGATGCAGTGTCACAACAAAGAAATAACAAAAAAAACTCAAAATAAAAGATGAAATAACCTAAATGAGTATTCCAAACAACTTATAATAATATAATGCATTTAATATTACAACTATATACAAAAAAATAACAGTTGAGTTATATCATGTACACGTCTAGCTCCGTCATAATTCACCAAAACTGTAATACAATGTATTACTGAGAAATGTAACTCACAAGTCATTGCTTGTTTTTGTTCTATCGGCACAGAAAATCAAAAGAAGATTTTGTGGTCAAAAGATGAAACTCTAGTTCAAGTTTCAAGATTCTCCTGTCTCACACTTTTGCTGGTATCTTTATTATATTGTTCAATGTTTCCATTAGCATCTTGGAGAAGAGATTCGAAGATTGATATGAGGTTGTTCAGTCCAATGAGGTAGCCATCTTCGTGGTTACCAACTTTCCAGGCTGTATTGTGATCAATGCTAACATCTTCAGGGACAGGAACAGTCTTGGCAAAGTCTATCATCCAAACAGAGGCTTTTCTTTTATCGTGGACGAAGAGGAGCGAACTACCGATTAGTTCATGTGTCTTGAAGAAGTGTGATTCTTTGAGGATTGTTCGAATATTTTTCAGCCTTTCTAGATAACCGGGCTGTAAACAGAAATATATAAATATTACGCATTTTTGTTTAAATAGTTTCTAGAAATATAAGACTATGTTTTAAATACCCAGAAATTTCTATTAGTATTTTTGGTCAATGACATTTCAACAGTGTTATTTTAATATGATCCAAAATGTTTTTCAGTAACGCTTGCTTCTGCTTATAATGCAAAAAGCAGATAAAGAGAATTATTCTCAAAGACCATTTAAAACATTTTTCCAATCAAAGTATTTTTGCACTTACCACAGCACTAGGGAAGTTAGCCGTAAATTCTTTAAATGCTTCGACAATTTGATCTCTAGTCTTAGTCGTTTTAAAGTCTTTGGAGCTGGTTCCATCTGCTTTCTTAACACCGTCTATTCTGAATCCAAGTGTTGCTGTGGAACTGATGGTTTCCCTCCATATCATGTATCTAGGTTTAGTGACTCCTTTGCTTCTATGCTCTTCCTCCGTGGGCGCTTTTGGATCTATTTGTATCATTTTCTCATACATATCCTGAAATGAGAAAATAAGTTTCTTTTAAAATGGGTCAGTGAATATAAGTAATGTATTTTAAATTATCAATTGTTATTTTGTATTCAGTTTGAGTATTAGGGTATTAAATATTGTATGAAAATTAGTACCGACGTGTTTGCAGCGCCACAGTGGTGGCATTGCAGCGCTTGTATTAGTGTTTATTTTGAAGGCTCCAATACTTAAGTATTGTCAGTGTTTCAATTTCAATCTATATTTTAATAGAATACAAACAAATAAAGAAACTGGAGACGAAAATGCTTTACGTAAATTTGTTTTTATTTTATAACTACGAGTACATCAGTAGTTCACTATGAGCAACTGATTAACTAATTATAGCTTGTGTTAAAAATAATTAACTATCTCATAGGACATAAATATCTTCCTAAAATAAACAATACAAGAATGGACATGTAAAGCGTTTGTTTTATAGCAAAATTATCTTAATTGTGTTGTCTCGCTTCTATAATTGGCAGAAATTGCCATTTTAATGATAAATATAGAAAAACAACTCTATCTTCCAAACCATTACGTCAAAATTCGTTTATCGTTTCCACGTTTTATTTAACCTTTTCAAATGTAACGCGATTAGTAAATTTTGTACTGAATTGTTTACTAAAAGCAACTACATCTGCACATAATACTCTACATACAAGGTGGATATAAAAATAACATTGAGTTTAAGTGACATTAATCTTGACATTAGTCTAATGTTAGTTAGTACAAACACTGACCTTTCTCAACTTAGTCTTCTCTTTAGCCTTTGCCAGTTCTTCTTCGAGGTATGTGCGAACTCCGATTTTGCAGTCCATCACGCAAGGACTGTCGAAATCGCTCAGCAAGTCTTGTAATTGTAAGACTGTTGGTGCTTAGTTAAGAAAATTTCGGAAAAAAATTATCCACATTCCTTATAGCATTTATTTTCTCCATCTTTTTATGCACATATAAGGTATTGTTTAGGTGTATAGTTGGTAGAACGGAATCCAGTACAGGGGCGGCCTTGTTTAGGCGCAGTACACAATCATATGTGTCTGCTTGGAGCATATAATTGAAAAAATACTTTTTATTATTATACACCTCTATAACAATATTTTAAGAAATTACAATATACAGGCCGGTCGGGTTTGCATTGACACAGGTCCAACACACAGAAACCATCTGAGATACCAGGCACTGTACTCTCGTTCCTCATCCGACATCTGTCAATCCGAAACAATTAATGTCGAATAAGTAATACTCGATAAAATTTAAAGACGCACGATGTGAATGAAGCTTTATACTTGGCATTATCTTTTAATTTGCTCGAGAGTTACTTATTAGACCCCCTGGACCGGATACTATTTTTATCTTTATAGAAACAATCAGAAACGTTATGTGAAGTGTAAGAACATTTTTCGTTATAAAATATTTCCTAAATTAATTCTGTAGGAAGTCAAAATACATGTGATCGTGGTATTGTTATAGTGAATTGAATTGCTAAATATTTTTTTTTATACTGAGGCCAATAAAAAATATATAATATTAATTTTTGTTATTTGAAAAAGGATACATTCTCCGTCGTCACACGAGATCTTGTTCTTGTACTCAGGCACGAATGACCGAAGAATGTCTGTCATCAGCAACTGAAATCAAAAAGACCAAATTCTATTACAAGTTTACAAACATGTACAAGCTTTTTAAGACACGTTACTATTAAAGAGTACCTTTGACTTTATATAAATATAATATGAGATAGCCATTGAAACATACAATTGAATGAATGATTGAATAATTTTTGTTATTGCACATTAAAATTACAATGACAACACTAAATAATAGGAATTTTAAGTATATTATTTTCGCTAAACAAGGCCTCATAATATCCCCCGTCGAAAGTGTTTGTATTACGTGGAAGTCATAAAAATAATACGAACTACAATTTATCATAAAACTACTCCTCCTACTCCCCTATTTTATCATAAAAAGTTATCGACTAATTAAATTCGTACAATCTTTAAACCTCTCGACTTAAAACTTGTCATTTTGCGGATGCGACCATATTTAAGTAGAAAAGGGTGCAATTTCATTTAGTCATTATATTTAAAATTTAAATATATCCGTTCTCTAGCATCGTTTCGGAAATTTCTGACGATTCTATATACAAATTACCTATGACAGACGCACCGTTCGCATTCTATGCATGCAATACGTACAACCATTGTCATGTAAATTTTAATATCAAAGCTAGTAGGAACACGTAAAACCCGAACAATGAAAATTCAAAGAACTGTCTTCGAAATTCAAAAAACTTTTCTTATGAAAAAGATTTTGATCGTGTTTAATACACGATTGTTTTTTTTCTTGGTTTATGCTTTCCTTTTTTAATATATTATAATAATATATATAACAAGGAGTGCAGTATTGTACTTTAGTTCTATTGATATCTTCCCGTAATTGTTCTGAAGTTGCAATAAAGGGCATGTAATTGAACTGAAGTAGGTATGTGTAACAAGATACTTCTCTTAGTTGGCTTTTCGAATATTTGGTACAGTAAGAAACAGACGTACCAACTCACAAATAAAACAGAAATACAACGTAACATCAACATTACGAACCAATCATACTCGCACAAAAACATTCAAAGAAATCTTTTGTTTTCAAAAGTCATTAACTTATTGTTAACGAGTTGACGTCAACTGATTATTCTGTTACTAAAAATAATAATTTCAACTACGTTTTGCGAACATAAAAGAAAATTCAGTGATAACTGTGATCTTGGGCTCACAAAGATTGTTCTTTAGTTTTTATCGCGCTCTTATTTACTGCACTGCTATGTAATCATTGTAGCATTAAAATGGTTTCTGTGCTATACAAAGAAATACATAAAGTAAAGAGACCTTTGTTAAGAAGCAGGTACAAATCAAGCTCAAAGTATTTTACTATACTTTAAGAAAAAGTAACAAAACAAACTAACAGAACCTAGCGAACTGTAGACAAAAAAAAACAGATTGACATGGAATATGTAAAAATGTATATTAAATATGCCCGGGCTAGCAGGCGATCTGTAACCACCTTTATTTAATAACATTAACATATTAATATTGTCTTAAGTTACGTCTGTAGGTTGAATGTAAATATCTTAGCTAAAGCTAATTTTTAGACTGATTTTGCCTTCGGTGAAATCCGCTACCTTCTACGGCAGGAGTTGTATGACGTGTAAAATAGTAAATATAACTTTAAATTACAACAATATGGTAATTTTGGTGTAATTGAACGAATGATATTTAAATTACTCCAATTTGAAGTATTAATAAGCATGAACAGGAAATATAAAAAGTTGAAGAAATCTGATGTAGAAATGTTGGATACTCTACTGTTAGTTAGGCTAGCATCGCCGATAGTAGCTGGCCCAGGTAAAATTACCAAATCACTTAAATCCCTCTATTTACAGGGAACCCGAACACACTAACGGAACGCAACCTATATAGGCTAGTAACCACCACAACCGTCTTTAACGCTTGGAAAAACATTACTCACGATAACAAACACTACCAGCAAAAAAACAAGAAATTTGTGAAAGAAACCTATACATTGCACAAACCTATATACAAGCGACTTGACTTTCCTTTTTTACAGTTTAAGCGTTGTCGTTGCTGTGTACAATTTTCTAACTTTCCCATATTGTACTACGTAGATACATGCAATTTTGAGCGACAGAATCTTACAATACTTTTAAACCTCGTAAATGGCAAATTTCGAAAATCAACCGGAATCTTACTATAACGGAATTTTGGATTAGTTAACATCACAATCTTTAGACAACATGATGCAACTGAACTGTTGGGTTTTACAGTCATTGAATTTTTAAAACATCGCTTCTACTTTGTAACAAACATCTTTTTTACACAAATTAGCGCTTTGTTCATAATTTAATTCACGTACAATCTAATTTTGTACTGGCTTTTATAATATGCTTATATACAAATTAATTAGAATTGATGACGCACTTTAATGTGAAAAGCCTGTTTGACGTCAGGCTCAGAATTGAGCAACATCTTTAAACTTTGTGATGATATATGTGAAAACGAACTTCAGTAGTTTCACAATATTAAACTGAATTTAGCTTTTATAATAATGTGCGTGTAATTATAAGCATTAAGCGTTATTTGTTTGATACTTATTCAATTGTATGTGTGATTCATCAGCGAATAAAAAAAGGAAATTCAATAATAACAATTTGAACAAAGAAGAATGACACTCAGTAAGGCATAGATACATACATTGAATGAAACTAGTCCCCCGGTCCGGTATTCAATGAAGGTACATAAACAAATGCCTAACCTAATTAAACCATTCACCGCAAATATAAGCTATAATCTCGTAATTGCAAAAAGTACATTTGCAAAAGGTTCCTTTCCATAGTTAAGCCGGATTACATTGTTAAGCCGGATTTTATTTCAAAATGTTAACTTACACAATGTCATATTGTGTTTCGATACAGACTATTTAATTTGCACAGCTGAATTATTGTGTTACGCTATTTAAGTAAAGTCATACACAACTGTGTTACGGCACATATTTCGCATGATTAGACACTATTTCATCATTATAAACGATAGATATATTGAAGATGTAGCGGTGATCTGCAATTATAAATAATTTATGTTTTTGTGAAGGGACGTACATATTTTAAATACAGAACGACTAAGTTTCTTTTCCTACTGCTGCTCATCACGTACGAAAATTTTATTTTAGCATATTTTTGTTTTTTTTTAAGTTAATAAGTGACGGGATGAACAAATCGTGTGCCGGGCGGTGAGCGACATGCCTGTCTATAGCAGTTGCAGTGCCACTCAGAGCTTGAAATCGCAAATATCTGAAGGGCTCTGCCACTGCGCCCGTCACCCTGAAGCACAAATTGACAAGTCTCGTGTGCCTATAATTTCACCAGCACTCTTATCCTACAATACCCAAACACGGTAATGCTCACATTACTGTCTGGCGGTAGAAATAGGTAAGGTGGCAGTACTTCCCTGAAGGAACAAGGACCTCTACGGCGACTAAAATATGCGGGGTTTCCGATACTTATTTTCCGAAACTTTCTTTTAAAGCATACAAGACGGTAAATCAACTACAAAATAATCAAGTTTTATCTGCATTTTAACATAACAATAGACAACACGCTCTCAGGTGCCAACTATAAGCGCAACCATGGCTGTACTCGCAGACTACGCCCACTTGTTATACAAGATCTGGCTTATTATATTAATTTTATTTCCGTTTAGAAATTTAACAAAAAAATAAATATATTATGTACATTCACGTTACTTTTCTAACTAGCTAGTTAGAATGACTAACTAAACCAAAATTGGTTATAATGGACGATAGAACTTTAAACAATCATCATTCATCACTCAATAGTTTTTATTCGTGTTTTTCTGTAAAACCTTTTTTTGATTGTAAAAGTCATGAGGTCATTGATTGCTCATCCTTCGAAGAGTTCGTATACCCTACATGGTTGTTTCAAATTGGAAACGGTGCAGATTATTCATTATTCCAGGAAACTTTGGATATCGGTTTTATTGATGTACCACACAGAGATATTGATTTCATAACGTAATTTTTTTATAGTACCATGCAAGTGACGGAACGGACGCCTGCCCGTAACAGTTGCAGTGCCGCTCAGAGGCGGCAACTTTTAGCAGCGATGCAAGCACGATGCAAACGCGATGCAATAGCGATGCAGTAGCTAATCGTTTACCTTTACACACACGCGCGACTTTCAGCAGCGCGACTGCATCGATAGAATCGCGCGATGGAATCGCTACATTTGTGATTTATAAGCGACGTAGAATTTTGGCAAAATTGCACTTTTGCTGCGATGTCCAAACCGCCTACCAATACAGGAGATAATATAAAAATATATAGAAAATAGATCTCTCCAAAAAGTGTTATTAAAAAAATATTTACTTTTATCACGAATGGACATATCTTAATTTTAAACGAAATAAACTAAATAGTTTAATTATTATTACGTAATTACGTAGTTCCAACTTCTAGTGCTGTGGTGTTAATAATTCATTTCCGTCCAGAATTTTGTTGTTTTAATTAGTGTTGCAGGGGAGTACATGCGTATCGGTATATCCACATCTGCTTAACGCTAAATACGCGTTAATAGGTTGCTATAAGGTAAAAACACAATGACGTATACAAAAGGACGTTCGTAGTTTTCCCGTAATATAAATGTGTTCTCGTAGTTTTCCCGTCAAACAATGGAGTATTTTTTGTATGTTATTATGACGAAATAACAACTACATTGCATGAAAAGTATTTTTTTAGGAACTTGATTGAACCAATTAACGCTGCACCATACGCTTAATAACTAGAGCTAAATTGCCAAAATTCTAATTTACTACGCAAAACGGTATAACGTACAAAGCCAATTGCGAACATACGTCAAAGTGCTTTTATCACATGAAACTTCCAAAAAGTTATCAGTTTGCAGATGTTGCTTTATTCTGCTAAAAGTGCAATATTAGTTTTATTTCGAATTACGTAACGTTATAATTGAGAGTGTGATATTAAGAAAT